TTTAATAAATAAAACTCTTGTTGAATTAATTTTCTTCATAATCATCTTTGAACGAATTTTAGGGAGACGAACATTTATTCCAATGGTCTTTATTTCACTTCTGCATTGCAACGATATCAGGAAATGTTGACGTGCTTTATTCGTGGTTCAAAACCCATATGGACTGCACAACATATATGTTCATCAGTGTTTCCAAACTTATCCAAGTCATTCCTTTAATTATAGGTCTTTGAGGTTACTTAGGTCATTTATAAGTTAAGTCTATCCCGGTCACTTAGGAGTTTCCAAAGTAATTCAATTATTTTCATAAATTTGAATACATATATTCCCTCCATTCAGTTCAACTTTATCATAATATAAGTTCTCAGGTCGTCTCCCTTATCATAGTTATCCATAGTCCTTTTTAGACTTTAAGGGTATTATCATCATTTCATCCAATTCTGTTAGTGGCATTACTTCAGATAACTTAGTCTTGAAAGTATTATAACTCCTTAGAATTCAAAGTACTTTGTTTATTTGATCACTGGATGTTATTTTCACCACTAGGGGAAACCTTGGTCTTTTTACAGTATAAGGGAATTTTCGTAATTTTACCCTCATAGTGCTATTTTTGGTAATTTTTTATCCAAATATTTCTAACATTTAATTTTTAACGAGATTAATCATAATTTAAGCTTTCTGAGATTAATTGATTTACTGGTTAAATCATTGAACTAAAATTTGCTCCGATCAGTCTGCCAATTTCTTTTTCGAGCCGTTAGAGTCTTTTATAGTGTACCATCTTTAATGAAATTTCCTTCTGAGTCCAAAGACTGTTAACTACACCTAATAGACCAATCATTTTTATTTATGCATTTACTATTTATTAGTGAGTCCCAAAAAGCATACAAAAGGTAGTAAAGTATTACCTCAATTTTCATGTTATAATGATCGACCATTTAAACTCCATTCGATTTCCCTTGAACTTGAATCCAACGTCCAATAATTCCTCGGATACATAGCAACTGAATTTATGTTAAAACTAAACTTAATTGCGAAACCATATTGAATCCGAAGGTAAGTCACTGAAAAACGACTTAAGGTGCGAATTCGGTAAAATGAAATTCAGAATCAGACTTAAGACATTGAAAAACATAAAATAAGGCTTTTAAAAAATTTTGACTTTTTGGGTCAATGTCTTAGTCAACGGTCAATGGTCAGACCGGTCAAAGTCAATAGTCAACGGGTTAACTCGGCCAAAGTTAACGAGTTGACTCAGTGACCAGACCGGACAGGTGGGTCGAGTCAGATCAGGCGGGTCGGCAGACGGGTCAGGTCAACTCGGTTCTAAAAATCTCCTTAGACCCAAAACAAGCCCCACGCGCACCGCCGGCGCGTGCAACGACGATAAGGCTAAGGCGATCGGTTAATTCATTCACGAGCTTCCACTAACCTCAATTAAACAATTTCAGTCCAAAAATTCAACCAAAATTACTTGAATAAAAAAGAAAAGAGTCGGAGATATTACCCACGTCGACGATTAGAAAAGCGACGATAATAGAATAACTCAAGGGTCGGGTTTTGAGCAACAAAGGTGGGGAGTCCGATGCTTGGGATGGTGAAGTGAATCGGCGAGCATAGCAGTCAGAATCGATAAAATTCATAGTGACGAGGGTTTAAAATCAATGAAACTTTCAACAATTGATTTTCCACGAACGACGGTCGACCTCGTGTTTAGTGGTCCGAGCTAGAGCCACGAGATGGTGGCGATACAGCTGAGAGGGGTGGTGAACTTCACCCCTGGCCGAGGTGATTGAACAACGTTAAGACGATGGAGATTTCTGGAAATGGGTTATTTGGTAGCTGGGTTTTGATTCTGATGGGGGAAATTTAATTTTCACTGACCATTAAAAATAGGCAAATTCAAGATTGGGTCCATAAATTTCCAGCACTTTCTAAAACTAGCCCAAAAATTTCAAAAACTTATAATTTGATCCTAAAATTTTCCTTATTACAACTTTAATTCGGTATTTTAAAACTAATAAAATTTAACCCCTAAAGTGGGGTGTTAATAATGGCTCACTCTTCCCAACAATTCTAGCCCAAGCAGCTAAATAATTACATATTGTGTCGGGGTGTAAGACAACAACTGAATGAATCGAGGGGCGAAGAGCTTTCAGGAACCACTCATACTTCTCTTTCTCGTTTAAAATCAACTCTGGAGCATACTTAACCAACCTCGGAAATTCGATCTCATAGTCGGTAATGGTCATGTCATTCTGCTTCATATTCAAGAAATCCTCCCGACACTTTTCTAAATACTCATCTCCACATAGTGATCTCGGAAAGCATGACGGAAATGTTCCCAAATGACTTGTTCAGCTAGAAAAATATCCTTCTATGATTCCCACCAGTCCCTAGTTTCACCGCCTAATAGTGATACATAAGCTCTCAACATACGATCAATCGGATAACCCATTTCCTTAAACAATCACTGTAACTTCTTCAGCTAGTACTCAACATTGGCGGGATCATTCCAGTCTAACCCATAAACACATTCATTACAACAGCTAAAAACTTGATCGAGATGGGTTTCTTAACACCCTCACTGTGTTTTAAAAGGCACGAGGCGCTTCAAGGCGATTAGCTACCTAAGAGCCTCAATTTTTGAGGCGCTTTGAGGCGAGGGATTCACGTACGCGAGGCACTTAATTTTACAAAACATTTGTAAATATTTTATAACCATACCTCAAACACAAAACAACTTAATAATTAACTTAATAAGAAAAAACACCAAGTAGCATATGTCATATTGTATCTCAAAAAGACTTGTTGCTTTCTTTTTACAGGATAACTTTTAAATGTTCGCTCTCTTTAAGATGTTTTAGTTTGCTCACAACCCACTGCTTGAGATTTGAGTCTAAGATCGATAATGCAAGCATGAAATTTGATGTCTAGTGAACCTGCAAAGCTACCGTCAACAAAAATTTATTACTCTTAGAATCATTTGCAAGTTACACACCATGGTCTTACTGAAATTTGCTTAAAGTCACCCAGAACATCAATTGAACCATCCTTAAGAAAGTTAAACTTAATCACGGGGCTTCTCACCATCATCAATCTATTTGTACGGATAATTGATAACTTGACGACAAACTAAACACGCCCACTCCCACTTCTCGCGCATAATAATCAAGGATAAGTGGAGATAAAATGAGTAGTACAACTACAACTAAAACACTCTAGAACTAAAATTCAACTTATATTGATGAATGAATAATTCACTAAAACAAACAGGAAATAAACGACCATTACTAATAAATTATCCAAGACCTAAATCTTTTGAAGATTAAAGATGATTGGAATAAAAAATAACAATAAAACATATTTGATCAAATTGGCAAATTAAAATAACTACTAAAATTTAACCAAATATGGAAACAATAAGGAAGTAATTAGAAAAAACCAGAAAACTCATAAAAAAGTGAGAAATTATATTTAACCATATCGGTGCATAGGGAGTGGATCTGAGAGATATCTTTTTAACGGAGAAGGAGAGTTCAGGTGAGTCGGGACTGGAGATGGAACTCTCGAACCTCTCCAACCATTCGATCCCGTCCCTTGCTCGAAGAAGTATCCTTTTGGCACTCTGATAGACTTCCGATAATGTCACTCCTCCTTCGTTCCCCGCCATGCTTCGATTCCAAACAAAGCGTCGTCTTGATTTTCACTTGTAGAAATGGTGATTGATTTGATTTTTGGTTTTGTTTTGTTATATTTATTGAATTGCAATTTCTGAATTTGTTTTGATAGTCCAAACAATGAAGAAAATATCCTTTTTGACTATCATTGTATGTGAATCGCTAAAAGCATCGCCTCGTGTACTCGCCGCAGCCTTGGTGGTCAGAGGCTTTCTTCTAAACGCCTCGTAGCACCTCAGAGCGCCCCAGGCGCGCTTTTTAAAACACAACACCCTCAGTCTAACGGAGATAACGAAGTAATTCACGGTTTACTGCAGCAGTATCATCATTAAACATCTTACTGTCCTCTTATTCATGTAAAACATCACCCTAAGTCTGATGTGCGGGCATATTTTCACCTCTAGTCTATTGAACTCCTGTTCGATCCATATGTTACTCAACTCTCTCGATCCCATTAACTTTATTCGAATTTTGCGTCTGACCCATTGGTGGTGGTGGATTAACTCTAGCCGTAGTGGTACAACCACAACTTTGACTGGTAACTCGATGAGAATTCTTATGAGGTGCCACAGAGAACTATAAAAAATGACAAATCCTAATATCAGAGTTGGTACTTGGAGTTTCCAAAATTAAATTTTTATAAAAAAATATTCAAATAATAAAAATAATGACAATAATAATTAAAAAAATCTCCTTTAAATGAAAAATATTGTATGCATCTCACAAATCATTTTCCAATTAAAAATATAGGGTTTAACTTAGCTCTGATACCACTAAATATAACTCCTTTTACTCGAACTAGACTAAACATGCCAGATTCAGAAGGCCCATTAACTAGATTTCCCAAAATTTACCCTAACATTATTTTAAAGTACTTTAAAATTAACCATCACATTTATTCATTACAAATAGTTTAAGTAATCAAATAATAATTATATTGTAATAAAACGTATACCGAATCCAAAGTTCAAGTCCATAGTCCAAAATAGAGTTTATGTTCAATGTCGTAAAATATTTAAACATATTAAATAAAATCCAAGTAAAATAATAATAAAATAAGAAATAGAAAATCTGAATAAATATCATATTGTGAAAATAATAAAATCTGAACAAAGACGCAACTCCATGTACCAGTTCACCTAACTTGAGAATCTGAAAGAAGAAACTAAGGGAGAGTAAGCTACAAGGCTTAGTGTGTCTCTAAAGTGCAATTAAACACATATAATAACATAGACCGAAGCATACAATAATACTCATACGTCAAATTATCAACGGTAATAACAATTTAATGATATGTCAATGCTCATGCACCGGCTCGTACTCCTATCACACCTAGAAGAGTGGGTTCCCCAGAACAACACTAATTCCAACTCATACACCATATAAGGGGTATGCCACAAAGGTAGAGGCCACTGAATCTGAAAAAGTGCCATTCACCCCATTGAGTGAATGCACTGAACTTCCCCAATCAATATTCTTCCTAATATGATATGCAAAATGACATAATATCTAATGTCTGTTTCGAACCGGCTAACAAATATTTCCAAGGCATATATTAATTCTAAAGTATATATTTATTACGTAGCATGTAATCCGATTCATGATATTTTCATGCAATCATATATTTTGTACGAACATCTCATAATTCCAACCTCGAGAGATAGCTTGAGACGGTAATAACCTCTACCACCGTTAGCTTGAGCTGTAGATCGATCCGAATCAGTGCCTACAATAAGTAATTTAGTTAAATAAAATTATTATAAAATTAATTATGTAAATAGCATACTAAAATTTGTTAGTTAACACTCACGGTTGACACGAGCTATACGGTTCGGTTCGAAGTTTGTGGTCAATGAAGGAGGAGACGGTTACTCAGTTCTCGGTTCATAATTTCCTGCAAAATTGACAACATCCTAATCAAATAGCAACAAACCAATTTACAGTTAAAAGTAATAATTATCGATGAATAAAAATAATTCTGATTCGATCGGGGATATGGCAGTAGGCTTTCGATTTAAATATAGGGACTGTCAGTACACTTAAACAAGGCTTTCAGCAACGAAACTTTATCGGTAGTAGTCTCCTGGGTCGGGGATGTCACGGCCAGCCTTACCATAACCTTAAACGGCCGTCCACCACACGGCAATGGCGGCAACACCCCAAAAGGAACCGACGAAGAGGGTTCCCCAACCAAACCAAGTTGTCGACCGCGACCCAGGCCAACTGAGCCTTCCCCGATAAAATCCTGACCACCCACGACCATAAGCAATCGAACATGGCGGTGCTAGGGGCGGTATTGTGAGTTAAAGCTCGTAGGTTTCATGATAACCCGCTCCAACGACGATGACTACGAACAGAATTACGATGGGGTCGTGGGGGATAGCCGGCGAACCTGCCTTGATGAAGAACGATGGTAAAATAGGTGAACGGTGACAGTGAAAAGAGGAATCAAGAATTGCTGCTAGGGTTTTTAAGAAAATGAAGGTGGAGGGCACCGCGCAGTGAAATAGTCGGGGGAAGAAGTTTGTATAAAACTAAAATGGGTTAATTACATGTTGGTAATCCAAATTTCTACGGTTTTAGAAAATTGATTCCAAACTTTCCATATTTTCAATTTGGTCATAATCTCAATTTAGGAATTTAGTTGAAAATTTCCTAAATTTGGGGTAAAAACGGGGTATTACATGTCAACCCAAGGGAGCAAGAATGGAGAAATCATATAGAGATCATACAAAAGTAAATTGATGATCTCCAAACTTTAAACAACTCTAGAGGGGTTTGAGTTACAAAGGAGTTGAGTCCTCTCATGCTTCACGTGGTGGCAGCTTCTTACCATCCACATTTCAAGCTGTCCAAGGAGACCTATAACAAGACTAGATACTCCAGGATAGTGGTGCTTAATGAGTTGAGTAGCTTGTGGGCTATTCAAACTTGATTCGATCAAAACTCGGTTAAAGCTCAATTTGGATTGACTCAAATTCAAGCTCAACTTGAGACTTTAATGAGTTGAGTCGAGCAAAGTGTAACTCGAATCGATTAGTTCGAGAGTAGCTCGTTAAATTTTTCAATATTTTTAGTAGTTTTGTGATTGTTAGCAACAATGAATGAAGTTAAAAGATGATGATTTTTTATTTCTAGGATTGATTATCTATTATTGAAATTATTTTTTTCAATAATATTTTTAATATGTTAGTATGATGTATTTTTGGATTGTTACCTTAGTTTTAATATTTAAGTTTGGTGTATTTTTGGATTGTTACTTTGGAGTTTAGATTTTGAAATTGCTTCATACATTTTTTTATTAAATTTGTTAACTTATGTTTATATTAAGCTCAATATAATATTAGTAAATTTTACATATATTTAAAAAATAAGATAAAATTTCTAATGAGTTTAACAATCAACGAGTCGAACAAAATTTTAATGAGCAACGAGTCGAGTGATGTAACAAAATTTTTAACGAGCGCAACTGACTTGCTGGACAAGCACCCCTACTCCAGAGTACTTGTCCCAATACATGAACTACATGGATATCAAGGGGGCCTCTGACGAGCTGAAATGCAAGGTCTTGTCAAACACTCAGCGTACTTGTCCCAATACATGAACTACATGGATCTGACGAGCTGAAATGCAAGGTCTTCTTAAACACTCAGCGAACGAAAGCCAAGACTTGGTACAAATCCCCGTACATGCTATAACTGTTGGGGACTTCAAGCAGTTGTAGAATATGCTCTTCGATTAATTTTTGGTTGACAAAGCCATCCTCTGGTCGGAAGCCAATCTGCTTAGTGTGGTAGAAAGACCATACGAGCTTCTGTGGGAACAAAACATATTTCTCCAAAACTTTCTTCACTCATGATATATAAAAGAATAGAGACATCGATGTTAAAATTTTTTATTCAAGTGATAATTTGACATATCTATTTACAAAGACGCTTCTCACCATTACATTTGAGAAGTTAATATTTAAATTGGATTGTGTTATTTTAAAGATATCATATGGTGTACTATTTTTATTTCACTGACTTTTTATCCTACATGATTTTTCCTAATAAAATTTTAAGAAATCACATATTTTAAGACATCTAATGAAGAAATGCGGATATCCTTTCACTTTTATATCCCTATACCCTTAGACCTTAGTCTTTCACCTCCCTATAACATCTTATAATTTCTATGATTCTATCCCTGTAAATAAGGGCATTGTACAAACAGATATGTATAAGCAATGTAAAGTTATCATCTCCTTTAATTTTTTTTCTTCTAAATCCAGTAGTTTTTTAATAAAATTTTATTTCTTTAAATATGTTTAGTTGTTAAAGTATCATTACTCTTATTTGATCAGCCTTAACTAATCCTCAACTTTTATCAGAATTGAAAGTTATACTTCGATAGTATAATTGGAATGATTACCTAAAGAAAAACATGGCTGTCAATGTCATTGTTGTACGTGGAAACTGCCTTCTAACTACTTACTTTATTTGCCATTATGGGCATTGACTTCATCGTTCTTCCCCAACTGAATCCAAATCGAGGGGTCCAGACTTTAAATAACCATTCAAGATATACACATACATCATCCACCATCAAATATATAATTTATTGAAAAAGGTTTAATTTATTTAGGCTGAATTTGATAAAATATTAAAATTGCAAAAATATGTTACAAAATCTCACAATTATTTTTTAAAAATAAAATATCAAAATCTTAGGGTCTATTTGGTTTTAAGAAATATAGGCTATTTTTATTTTCATTTTCATAAAAAATAAAAATATTGAAGAAAATTTGTTTGGTTGTAAAATTAGAAAATGATTTATGAAAATGAAAAAAAATTTAAATGAAAATATGAAAACATAAAAACATATTTACAGTATTTTCATTAAAATATTTTAAAATTTTGAAAAATGAGAAAACATGATATCTTAGTTCATAACTTAACTTACATGGATTCAAATCCTTCCAACAATAATTTTTGACTTAATGGTCCTTGAAACTTTCAAACTTTTGTAAAAAAAATCAATATGGTCTCTTGACTTTTTATACTCAATGTGATCCCTAAACTATTATTTTAAATAATTTAATTTTATAGTATTTTAATATTTAATGTATTGAATATCTTAATAATTGTTTATATTATATTTAAATTTAAGTAATTCCTAAAAATTAAATAAGTTCTCAAGCTTTCTAAAATAATTAATTAGACCATCGAACTTAGCAAAAATTAATTAAACTCATCTATCACATCATTGTCCATTGTGAACTATCACATCAACATTTTAGATTATCATGTAAGTTTTGTAAATTTTCATGTAAGCACTGTGACAATTAATATTTTATTATGTTGCTTAAAAGATTATATTAGTTTTTTTCTCAGATTAATGGTCACATTCAGTGAAAAAATTCAGGGGCTACACTAGGACTCCGTGCACCCCAAAATTTGAGGCTTTAAATACTACTAAATATATATTTTTTATTTTAGTGACATTTTTGTATGGTCTTGCATAGAATAATATTTTTATATATTTTTTAGTTTAATTGATATCCAATATACACTAACATTATATTCTTATTATAAATTTAAATAATTTTTGTGTATAAAATTTCTTATAAACTTTATTATTTTATACTTACATAACTCACATGTTTAATTTGTGTAATAATTTTTTAATTATTGGATTTTAATTTAATTATTTAATATAATTTGTTCATCTTTATTTAAAAAAGATATAAAATATATTTTATTATTTTTATTTTGAATTCCAGATTTCATTATATTAACCAAGTATGTTTTCTATTTTTATAAAAACTGAAAATGCAAATTGTATTTTGAAAATAAAAAAAAAAGAAAAATAGAAAATATTTTCTATAACCAAACGGACCCTTAGATTCCCTTTGATTATAATTTTTTTTATTTTCTAGTTCCTAAAACGGACCCTTGAATTTCATTTTCATTTTTTAGAACTATAAAACATGTTTGGTTAATCTAAATAAAAACTTGAATTAAAATTTATTTTTTAAAAATTATTTAATATCTATATTTTTAAACATGAATGAATAAATAATTATATTAAAATATAATTATTAAAAACTTCACTACATAAATTTAGTATTTGATTTATAAAAATATAAAACAATAAATTTGATAAGAAAATTTATAATAAAAAATTATTTTAGTTTATAATAAGAATATAATATTAATGCATATTGGACATCAATTAAATTTAAAAAAATACACAAATTATTGTTGTAAACAAAACAAACAAAATTATCATTAAAAAAAATTGTTTAGTGGTATTTAAGACCTCAAACTTTTTTTTGGGGGAACTAATGTAGCCCGTGAACTTTTTTACACTCAATGTGACACTTAACTAAGAAAAAAATCAATCTAACTTACTAACTAACGAAATAAATGAAACGTTAACCATCATGATGCTTACATTACAATTTATAAAGCTTACATAACAATCTACAATACGGATGTGATAGTTCTAGATGTTATTGTGGTAGTACATGATGGACGATGATGTGGTAGATGAATTTAATTGTTTTTTGGCTAGTTCGAGGGCCTAATTAATTCTTTTAAAAGTTTAATGACTTAATTATTTTTTAGAAAAATAAAAAAAATATTGAAATTGAAAATATAAAATATAAAAAATTATTAAGATATTTAATACATTAAAAATATTATAAATTAAATTATTAAAAAATAGTTTAAGGATCAAATTGAGTGTAAAAAAGTTTAGGGACCATATTGATTTTTTACAAAAGTTTGAGGATTTTAAACACCATTAATTCAAAAATTGTTGTTAAATGATTTGAACTCATGTAAGTTAAGTTAAAAATCTAGATGTCATGTTTTACTATTTTTTAAATTTCTATAATAATTTTAATAAAAATACTGAATATATCATTTATGTTTTCAAATTTTACTTTTTTTTTTATTTTTTAGAATTTTTTTTTATTTTATAACTTTTCTTCAATATTTTTTATTTTACAAGAAAATAAAAATAAAAATAGTTTATATTTTCTAGAACCAAAGAAACCTTTTTTTTCTTAGTCATATTTATTGATTTTCTTTATATATATAGAGATGTGAAATCAAATAATAATTCAATTTTCAAGTCATTTTATACCAAATCATATTAAATCAGACACGAATTATATCAGGTCAAATCTCACAATTAGTTTTTAAAGAACAAAATAAAAAAATCTTTTTTTCTTATTTTCATATTTGTTGATTTTTCCTTACCTATACTTATATTTTTTGTCACAAAAAAATCTATTTCATTATAAAAACCCTTCATAGAATGATTATCACTATGTCAAGATAGTTAAATAATTTAAAATACGAAAAACATTAACTACATTATTTTATTAAATATATAAAGATATTCATTTTAGAAAATTACAAATCTCTTCAAATATTTATATTTTGCACAAAAGCTACGTTTTAGAGATGTTTAATATTAAAATAAGTATCCAA